AAAAAGGACAATGTTTAAAAATATATTATATGATGGGGTAACTTACTTTGAAAACAAAAAAAAAAAAAACATTTAATCTTTAGCTTTCAAAATAATCTTTTTCAAAATCCCAGTCAAGAAATGTTTTCTCTTACAGGTGAACATATCATTATGCCCCTACAGACTAGAGATAGTTTATTCATACAGTTTGTAGCTTGGAGTTATTATACTGACCTACCCATAGCGAAGGTAAGGGAAGGTTGAGTATTTTATTACTTACATGTATTACATGTGTTTTAAAATGGCTAACTGGAACATGCATGATACGTGCTGCAGTCTAGATGTTTCCTGAAACCATATTGTGTCTGGTGAAAATCAGAAAATGTAAAACACTATGTTCACTTAATAACCAGCTTGGTGTCAAAAGCCAAAACGCAACAGTGTTTCATTGCGAGATATCTCGGGGCGTTTCAGTTTGGATAGAGTGAAGTTTGGAGTGAAATGTGCCCCTTGACCAAAGAGGTTAACACCTAGAAAGAGTTGGCACAGTTGTCTCATAGTGTGAAGTAAGGCAAGAAAAAAGAAAAACATGTTCGATTCTTTTAACAGCCCTGAGCAACAGTGTGAGCCAACAATTTACAGTCGTAACATTAACAAGTGATACTGAAAAAGGCTAACAGTAAGCACAGCATAATTCATTATCTGTACTTCTACTTCTGCTGAGGATTTCATCACAGTAATGGAGAATGACTTACAATCTGCCTTAGCAGGTTTCGGCAAGTTGGGGACATATTAACCTCATTGATAACTAAATTGCTCTAATGCATTTTACTTCTATAACATTTAAATATGATGGCTCATAAAGAGAGGTCCATTTTCAATTTATCACCATGAAACTGAATGCCTCATGGGTCTACCACTTCTGAGTTAATACAAAAAATTTGACATTTAAATTGGATTTCTGCATGGATGCTCAATGCGGTTAATGACAGGAAGCACCTCAGCATCAAATCTAGTGTTTTGATAGCAGCTGTTTCATACAGCCATTTCGATATAATTGAAATTTAAGTATTTCTTCACTGCACAGACCCTGTCTTAAGTGATACACCTCCTAATCACTAAGTGTGGGGTGGCAGAGATTGCATCAGAAGAATCGTTTCCATCTCAATAGGCAGTCACCCATCATCAGTCATATCATGACCGTCCTCTTTCGCTGTGTCACAGCAGGCGCAGCCACCTAATCCATCAAACACTTTCATGTGTCACTGTCCTACGTTTCAAAGCGGAAGAAAACAACAACAACTCCTTCCGCGATTTGCAATCCATCTGAATCAACCAGATTGAGTCAGATGTGGATCGCTGTGCTGGCAATTGGAGCAACCTGGTTTAGCGAGTGGTTTCCTGAAATACGCGCCCGCCCCGCCTATTATTCCTGCGCACTTTGGCCCAAATCGCATTGTGGCAAACCATTTCAAAGCTTTTACATTGTACACCACGGACATATTGGTCAGTCTTTTTTTTAGACAAAGTAGTTTTGAAATAATGGAATAAACTTGTGGCCTTTAGATTCACAAAATCCAGGCTAGGCTGAAGCTACAATTGGACAAACAGCATGCTCAGAAAAGAATTGGATGTTTTAAAATATAAAGCGCCTTAGTAATAATAATCTGTTGACTGACGGAAATACTAGGTCGCTTGACCTCATCCAGCCTACCGATTAGCATAATTTGTGCATATGAAAATTTGGGCAATGCAAGACAAGAAAGTTGAGAAATGCTCAACTTCTTCTGCCGTCTGCTGTTGCAGGAAACTGTCACCTTTTGCTTTTCGCTGTCGTTCATCACTCATCGTGTGTGATGTGTCAGGTCCACAACAATGCACTGCTGTGAACTAGGCAACAGAGAGGCTTTTAGGTTAAAATAATTGGTAGATTAATCTGCATTGCATCATATTAATGCATTAAAATGTTCAGATTAGTCATGTTTTCTGGTATACTTGGAAAATAACGATAATAAGATTTAATTAATACTGAGGATAATTTATCAACATTATGATTACAGACTTTTAAAGTGTAGGGGATGCAAAAACACTACACTTGCAAAAAAAATAAAATAAAATGTCTTTGTAAGTAATATTTTTGTTTTTCGGTTTCACTTTGCTTGTGATCGCTGCGATGCATTTAATCTGAGTTATTCTCAATGTGAACTATTATCAGATTTCAACACTGACAGTTACATTCATCATACCGCATGTTGCTGCTGGCAGTAGATTTGCATAAAGGTTTGTCAGGAGAGCCGAATGAATAGCGAGGCCTTATTTTGACTTTGTGAGGTCTTAAGTGTGATGGGAGCCGACGAATAAAATGACAATGAGTTTCACAATCACCTGGTTAAAAAAGTGCATTTCCACTGAGTCACTGTCAGCAGGATCGCAGCAACTGCCACCTGGGACTGATGGGAGTTTTCAGGACCAGGCAGTGATGGGGAAATGTGATTTCCATTCAGGATATGTGGCGATGCTAGACTGAACATGAGCAGGGGTTCAGGATTTTTATACATCACCAACAGAAAACACTATCTTGGATCAATATATTACAACATCCTGTGAAAAAAGTCGGCCCTGCAGATGTAGCTTATGGATTAGTTTACAAAGAATGTTTGCAGCTTTTCACAAGAGTTTAAAATAATTAGAAACTGCATAAAAAGTCTTTTTTTTTTGCCACAAGCTATGTGAGAAAGTTCTTAGATATCTAATCTAAATGGATTAATGAAAGTAAATTATCTTTACACCTTCCTTTAAGCATCCGTTCCCCTTTGAGATAAGCAAGGATGGTGGATAAATCATTTAGTGTTATGTATCCTCAATGCTTTTCATGCTTTGGTAGCTGGGAAAAATGAGGAGGGGAGGGAGAAGATTAAAAAAAGACTTCTAAGCAGCTTTTATTCTTTTTTTTCTCTCTCTTTTGTATACGAGAAAAGCTCTGAAGGCCAAGATGTGGTGAGAAACAGCAGCCGGTAAGAGCAGTTATTGAATCTTGTTGTAAATCTTCCCAACATGTCTATATTATTCTTATTTCAAGGTGTTTGTTTTGCTTCATGCTTGGTTAATCTGGGCCAACAAAATTAAAGGCAGACAAGGAGAAAGAAAGAAAGGAAGAAAGAAAGGAAGAGGAAAACAAAAGAAGGCAAGGTAGAAATAAGGCCAGCAACATTCTACAAAATGTGGAATTTGTACAAATTAAAAGAGAACTGAAGAAAAACAAAATAAACTAAACAAGAAAAATGAATAAAACAAACCAGACATCAGGTATTTGAGACGCTACAAATGTCTTGCAACTGAAACATGTTATCATATTAGAAATAAAACTCTTCAAGAAGTAGTACTTGAAGAGTAATACTGCAATAATAATACATTGATTACATGACAAATTAGAGCAAACTCAATCATTTCCATTTGCACAATTTATTGTTTTTCTTTTTTCTCTCTCTCTTTGAACCAAAAGCTGGACGATAAAAGTCTGGTGCATTGGTCTATAAATCTTGTTGATAGAAACTTTATGATTCATTTTATTTGTTGTTTCTGCTGTTCTGTTTATGTATTTTGGATAATTAAGATGTCTTTCACTTTCAGTGTTCAATGTTCATTAGAATTAAAAGATTATTGGTCATTTAGAAAGTTTTCTTACATTGTTATGCCGTTACTATCAGATTACATGAACATGTAACAACATTACTGTTGATAGTGATGACTTCTGGAACAATTTATATATAAGTTGCTTTTAATTGCAGCCTATTTTTGAAAGCTGGTTAAAAGTATAAAAAACTTTAGATCTTACTGGTAATTTCAAAAATACAAAAAATGTACCACAACAACAACATACTACAGAAGACAATATTTCAGTTATGGGTATGCTGAAATATAAGATGAAAAAGTTTTTAAAATCTCATTACAGTGCAACCTTCTTTAATTTAGTCTGCTAAATGGTAAGTTTTCAACATACCCCATTAACTTTTTAAATCAATATCTAAGCTACTGGCAAACAGAAATATCGCTTGGGCAATTTTCAACTAAAGCAGGAATGGAATCTGGTTTATTAAAGTTTGTCAGCCTGATGTGTGAGACTGCCTTTGTTGTAAACCTTAGAGTTGAGAGTTATTTTTCACATTGTCACAGAATTTCACTTCTCATCTGGACCCAAAGTAGCTCAATATTTCTACAGAAATAGCTTAAAAACATTTTTGTGACAATCTATAAACTGTATCACATACAATTGGCACTGTCTGTCTACAGCAACATTGCTAACGATACTGTACTAGTACCAAAACCCCAGTATCTAGTCATATTTTTAGGCCAAGAAAACTGAGCTGAACTATCTTTATTGAAAAAAAAAGAGGAATTGTATGGAAGAAAATTTACTTTAGCTGAAGATTCCTATGACAGACAGACAAGTAAGCTGTTATAAAGAGAGTAAAATGACATGTAATGCACATAAAAAAAATGGGAAAAAGAACAATCAATGTTAAGTGGAGGTTTACTTTGTGTCAGAATGAAGTTGTAACATGAACACCAGCAAATGTTTTCTTTGTCCTTTTTTGAGTCATTATGACTATGGAAATGAATCATTACTCACTATTCAATAATCATAGGCATGTATAAGGTATTTTGAGCTGTTTGCAACAACAGCTTCCATAATTTTCCCAGCTAATACGCGTTTGGTTTGATATTAGAATTGTTATGGTCATACAATATATTTTAGAGGGGAAAAAAAAAACACAACCTAAGTCAGATTTTGTCTCACAAGATTTACTGTTAAATCGAGCATGCACTGTAAAATTGTACCTGCACCCCAGCTCACTCCATCACTTTCACATGCATGTCTAAACACAACACAACGGGCATTAATGCAGTTGTGAGCAATATTTAAATTACCGAATACATGTGCTTTAACAGATGAATGAAGCCACAGACGTTAAATACCACTGGAATGAGCAGAGATGCGATATGTATGCATAGAGCCTCACCTCATTGGCGTAGACCCAGTGACTGTCCTTGGATGCAAGGTTGGTTTCAACTGCCTGCAGTGAGAAAAAAAATATATACAAATTAATTTCAGCTTAATGCAATATCACCAAGAATGGCCACATGATGGCGCAGTACATAGAACTAATCTTTACTGATGAAAAGTAAATAAATTAGTTCATAAGTAATACAAAAAAAAACCCCAAAAAAACTTAGCAGCATTTCAAAAGGGATTCTTCAAACAAAGGGTTAAAATCAAGGATTTGTGTGACAATACTTTTTAGAAGATATTCAGAAGAAGAACTTTCTGAAAAAACCTTAGTGCCGCGTTACATTAACTAAAACCATAGAGTAAGATGGGCTATTCTTCATTCATTGCTTCTTTCAGCTGCAGTGTTTCTTGTTATCAGAGATGTCAACATGTCCTGGGACCCAACAGAAGACAACATTTAACCTCTGACAGATAAGAATGGTGGCTATTCTCCAAAATACATAAAAACATGGGATAATTGAATCGCTGATAATTCCAGGGTTTGGTGATTAATGCTTTCAGTCAGGGGTGTCCAAAGTCAGTCCTCGAGGGCAGGCATCCTGCTTGTTGTGGTTCTCTCCCTGGTTTAACGCACCTGGATTAAATGATGGCTTAGGAGAATACTGACATGCTGAGAAGGTTGTTACTACCACCAGGGAGAGAACTAAAACATGCAGGATGCCAGCCCTCGAGGACCGACTTTGGACACCCCTAATTTAAATCTTCAGTAGATGTTATTTGCTTCCTAATGTCCCTCAGATGCCTAATTTGAGCTCAGAGTAGAGGAGAAATAAAGTGGAAAAATGCACAACAAACCAAGCTAGCCTCTAACATGTACTTTGGTAAAAAGTATTTTTTTAAATTTATTTGAAAATGGAGCCTGGAGTGACACACGCACATTACAAGCCTGGTATTAAAGAAGCTACATCCGACCTCACTCTTTTTACCTGATCTCCCAAATACATTTAGATAATCATTATTATTACTCACAATGTCAGTCGGGCTGTTGGAGATAAGAATGGCAAAACACTGTGCAGGACTTGCTTTTAACAAAATAATGGTTTCACCAAGTACTGCCGTGTTTAACCAGAAGATTTATTTTGTCACTGATTTTCTGCTGTGCAGAGCCCATAATTTGAGCAGATGACTGTTTACAGTGATCATAGTCATCTTTTCTCCAAAAACTGTGTAACTATTCTATATATAGCATATATATTAATGAAGAAAAGTGAGATGCTAGGACAAAGGATGATTTTAAAATATTTTAACCCTCGTATGTCCTGAACACAAGGACACACTTTTCTGCAAGTTTTAATCCTTCCTTTTATTATACCGCCACAATCCTATCACAGTGTTTCCTTTCTGAAGTTGAAAGCCATCTGCACAGCCAAAAGCCTTCTTATTCAAAGGTGAATATTGGGTGAGGAAATCAGATTTATCTAATCCCTGTGCTATCCCCTTTGTAAGGTGGTTATGATAGAGAGCAGAGAGTAATCTGGTTTTCGAGGTGTAAATGAATGCACATAATGACCTCAAATGCTTTGAATATAGGTGAAGTAATCTCACAAATAATTTTCAACCCCCCATGTCATCATTGAGATAGCATGAAACTTCTGTCTGTCATGTTTTAACGGATCAGAATTTGATGCCTGTAGAAATACGTTCAGTGTTACAACCACAGCTTTTCACTTTCGGTTTCAGGCATCAATACAACGTGTTTTGAAATATTTAAAAATATGCAGGATGTACTCCATCCAAAAAACAGAAAAGAATTAGCAGAGTTTGAAAACATTAAGCCTTACTCCGTGTGCAGATCAATCCAACGTTTACACAATGTCAGTGTGGCACATTCCAGATGCCACAAAAATGCTTAATTTACAGAAACAATGCAAAAGTTTGAATAAATTCAAAAGGTTTTATGGACAGGCTAAAAGAAGAGCGCTTCATGAAGGTTCACCGCTATTTTTAATGGTGTAGTGACAAAATCACAGTCTGTTTCCTTTTATCTTGAGACCTGAATGCTTTTAAGGACTTATGGAACCCTCTTTTATTTGCAAGTTACAATAAAGAAAATTAAGGCATCTGTTTACCCAGTAATGTGAGAGCTGTATCACTTTAACAAAACGTCAATCTCAAACATATTTTAAAGCCACTTAACCGCTAACTCATAATCAGCATTTATAGGGTTTTTAAAAGCAGATATTTTTGAAAGGGACTTTTTCACAGCAACACAAGTAAACAATGGCAGAAACTTTTAAAACAGGAAAATTTAGAACAAAGAAAACACTGGCAAGGAGAGTTTTCCTCCTTGCCAAACCACCAAACCAGGAAGGCAACACTAGATGTTTGTGCGGTAAAGTTTACCAGGTAAAATGACACAGAAGACAAAAAAAAAAATATTCCACCCAAAAATCCTTCTATATCTTTAGCAATTAGCTTCAGCCATGGGAATTGCAATAATTTTGTGTGATGGGGACAAGTTACTCTCACTTTTGAAAACAATTTGTTTTGTCCTCCCCCCACATTTACAATAAAATATTACTTCCCCCAGCCCTGTTTCCATCTAACTACAACAACTCTCTACTCTGCTGAAATGGTAACGTCAATCCCATAAACATCTCACTGTTTCTAGTTTGTGTCGTGCAGTGAAAGAACTTTCAGGTTTTTCTGTCTTTTTTTATTGCATCTTTCTCAGAAACAATGCAATTTGGAACTGGACAAACATTACTGAAAAGCTTCATCACACATGAATAGGGACCATTATATATGCCTTTCAATATTGAAGAGATTAAGAAACTGACTTTACTACCAGATTGGAAGATTGAACAGCAGAAATCGTCTTACGTAACCAACATTCAGTATGGCTTGTACATTGTATGTTTTATAATGCAATGTGATGTTCTGCGTGATGTTGAAGGGCACATTTGAATCTGTTAGGTAGAACAATCAATGTTCAACCTAACATTAATTGTTGTGCTGAGTTGAAATGTGTTGGATTAGTTTGACAATTTTAGATTATGTTTAGGCATTTATCTCTAATTATTCTGTGGCAGGTGCTACAATAAAAAAAAACTAAAAAATGGTTTCCGTGTATTTGGGCAAAGACACAGTAGTTCAATTAAGGGATTAGTCCCTACTTCAGAGTCAATTCATTGTGACCAACAAAAGTAAACTGACAAGCTACAATAATTAAGACTACAATGTATGAAATTAAATGGAGTGAAAGGTCTTTTTCCCTGGAAGCCATAGAAGTCACACAATGTTTTTTTTCTTTCTTCAATTTCAGAGAAGACGTTTGGGTGATAACTGGCATACAAGCAAGATATTTTTATGAAAGAGGTGGATTGCATTCAAGCTTAAAAACAATCAAGTTATCTCAAATCAAACAACTGTGCATTTGATTAACGGTAATCTGGATAACCTGCCAAGCTTGACATGAGTGAGAGCTGATTGTGAATCTGAAGGCAAATAATCACAAAATATTTCTTGTAATCGCAGTAATGAAAAAATAGCAGCAGATTCCTGCCATGTGCGAGTAATCTGTCCTCTCTCACATCGCAGATTATTATATCTTCCTCTCTCGAAATAAAATCTGACAATGGTAACTATTGTTTGCCTTGAAGATAAAACTTTGACATTCCAGAGAAACGACAGTTCTTTGGGGAGAATTTATTCTTCCAGACAAAATCTGTCAGATGGCATAATGATAAAGTCAAGTGTTGTGGTGTGAGTTAGTTAACACAAACAATGCCAGCTGGGATTGATGTCTTGGCACACAACAGACAACAATGCTTGAAATGTTCTGCATCCTTTCTAAAGGCCGGCTAAACACTGACAATACCAGACACCCTGGAAATGAACCTTTGCGAATGAAATGGTGTTTGAAATCTGATGCTCAGCTACATCTGTTCTGAAGCAACAAACATATAATTGATCTGTCATTCTGGAAGACGTCATTCTTTGCAGCATATTGTTTTCTCCAGTATCGTCCTCCAGGGGAGAAAAAGTCAAGAAAGGCAGTGTTATTAAAATGCAATTAGATAAGTGAAGTATGAAATCGAAGACTAAATTGATGTTAGTTGCAGCAACGTTTTAATTTACTATGCCTAAGGTTGACTGTATGGGAATCTAATTTTTGCACTATTTTGCTTAATCTGTTCCTTGCTAATTTCATGTCTGTTAAACTGAGAAATGATCTTCCACTTTGCACAAAAAAAGTAATCACATCACAGTCTAAAATCAATCTCAAAGTAGAACAAAGGATGTTACTGATCTTGTTGCACAGTTATTATTACAACATTTAAATAATAGTGTATGATAATCAACAAAGCTCTTCCTAAAAGAACATGGGTTAGTTTGTCTTCTTCATCTCACTCTGTTCCTCCTCTCACCTAATGTTTGAATTCAGGATTTGCTTCATTTGAAGCACTTCACTCTCATTTCAAGGTCAGGTCAGTGCACATAGCAACTAAACTTTTTTGTTGTTGATTTTTGGTGAATTGCTTCCACAGACTCTTGGCAGCAGATTAAGGAAGATGGACAATGAAAAGGTCTCGAAAGCCGATACAGCTCTCAACGTTCTCTCTGTGAGAGGGTCTCACAAAGTAACCAGGCCTCACAGAGCAATGAGGTCTGTCATAAAAGATTCACAATACTCCCTTTGACCTCAGCCTTGCCACTGTTGCTGTGGAAACATACTTTTAAGCACACTTACTGCGCTCTATTAACTCAACTTTGAACAAAAAGAATGCCGACTAACCTTGGTTTGCAACTGTGGAGCAATTCAAACCTTAAAAAAGAGAGTTGTATGCAGAAATTCAACCTCTCCAACAAATACTAGCATCTCAAGAGATTGTGCAACTGGTAGAATCAATAGACCAGAAAGAAATCTTTACTGACCTTACAGTAGTCAGTATTCAAAACCATGCAAGCCTTACAAGAGAACAACACAACCATGTCTCATTAAAACAAATCTTGACGCCCATTTCCCATGGCACCCAGGCTGCTAGCCTCTACCTGTGCATA